TACATATCTCGACACCTTGGGGTCCTCCAGGAGGAGCTGGAAAGTGTCACTGAGGAGACGGGCGTCTGGGGTGCTTTGCCTGGCCTGCTGCTTCCATGGACCATTGATTACCAGAACCATCTGGAAACATGGACAATTATAAAGCAGCAGCCAACGATGTTAGAAGACGTAAAGAAGGACTAGATTACAGTGAACAAGTTAAAGGAGCTGGAGTTGTACCTTGTATAATTGCATGTGACAAATAAATGATTGATTGACTGGCACATTGCAATAGGTGCAACTTGTCCAAGGTGACGTTTTCAGATGTCTTCTTTTGTCCAACTAACAGCCCATAATCAAAAGATATTCAGGATATAAAACAGATAGTATTTTCTATTCACATTCTTCTAGTAATGATCTCAACATCCTCATAACACAACATCATAACACCCTTGCAGTAAAGCAGCCGTCCTCTTTGGTTTATTCTCAGTTTATGCTGATCTTTTTAGTGAATACCGTCTGCTGTATTTGATGTGTTGACTCACAGCTCACTGAGCTGATGGAGGCAAATAAAAGACAAAAGGCTCGGCCTCCATGCATGTGTCAATCTGTCTGTCTGTCGATGTGTCAGTTTTCATCTGTCTCTGTCTCACATTTTGCTTTATGGGGATTTCTGCGTCTCTATATATAGCAGTTCTTCTGTCGGTCAAGGACTTATTCCTCACAGGATTCAGTGAGAAAAACCACTCCATTTCCTCGCTGTAATTGTATCAGAGCACAAACTGCCTCGGCACAGTAAATAAGGTCGTACGTTACAGCCTCTGGAGAGCAGCTCAGATTTGAATCTTCAGTCGTGGTTGAGACGGAGCGCTGCAGTTTTAATACCTGTAGCTGCTGTTTATTATGTGCATCGAGGGAATTAAAGAGCCTCTCTGTGATTTGGAGCCTAAACTTGTTGATTCTTGATGTTGGATTGTGGTTTGAACACAGGGCTGAATCAACTTTAAATGATACTACTGAGAGATTTTACACATGGAAACTCTACATTTCATCCCCCTGGACAGTGGAGAGCAGCTACAAATCATTCCCAGAAAAACAGCTGTTGTATAAAATGTGACTGAATTAATATTTCGGTATGAGGAGGATTGTCAAACTCTCTCTTTGCTTTAGTTTAGTTTTTCAGCAGTTAACTATAAGTTATATATAAGTTAATGAAGCGCTGTGTTGTTGGCCTGAGGAGCCTCCAGGCTACTTTCACTGTCATACTGTACTTCCTGACCTCTACGGTTCATCTGCTGCAGCAGCTTGACCAAACATGCATAACCTAATCATGCACAGATGGACAGACTACGGGACACACAACACACACACACACACACACAACACACACACACACACACACGCTTTACATTTGACATTTCAGCTCCTCCTCTCTCTCTCATGTTAGCATGTTAGCAGCGTCACATTTGCAGTCCGTCTAATCCATCTGAGATTAAGTAGCCTGTGTCATGTGACTCACCTGAAGTCATACCTGTCTGCTCGTTAGTATGTGACTGATCACACACCATCACGACTGTTTGGAGAGATGGGTGTTGATGTCAGAGGAGGGAATGGCAGTATTGATCTTTTAGGGAGTGGATGAGCAATTCCCTTTTAATGCTGTTGTCTTAATGGACGTACAGATCACAGGATCAATGATGGAAGAAATATTCAGATCCTTTACTGAAGTAAAAATAAAACTTAACTGTAAAAACACTCTGGTAGTCATGCATTCAAAATCTGACTTAAAAGTACACAAATATTATCAGCAAAGTGCTTTAAGTAGCAAAACTAAAACTACTCATAATAAGGAAAATAGCAAAGTTATTTATATAAAGAATGTTATTAATATAAAGAACATGAACAAATCTGTCGCTGCAGTAAAGATATTTTATGTTATTGTTAATTTACATCAACTCTTGATTAATTAAATATATAAATAAGTGTCTGTATCTGGAAACAAGAGGAATAAAGAAGATTACAACACCAGAATTATTTTCAGAAACACTTGAAACTAGTCAGTTTTAATTTTTAATTTTTAATTTAATTTTATATACTTTATTAATCCCCCTGAGGGGAAATTAAATTTTTTCACTCTTGCTGTCAATTACACACCGAAAAGACACACACATGCACAACAGGCGCTCCGAGCAGTTGGGGGGTTCGGTGCCTTGCTCAAGGGCACCTCAGCAGTGCCCAGGAGGTGAACTGGCACCTCTCCAGCCACCAGTACACGCTGCATATTTGGCTGGACGGGGATTCGAACCGGCGACCCTCCGGTTCCCAACCCAAGTCCCTGTGGACTGTAGACTCACAAGTCAGTCTTTAGACGCTTTGCTTAACTAAAGACTGATGTCTTTCTCCCTGATTTTGTGTTTAGATGGGCGGATACAATTTCAGAGTTTAAAAAAACTCCCTACATTGCAGAACCAATAGTAAATCCGCAGGGCGGTCCTTCGGTGGCTCGCTGAACTCTTGTGCTTGTAAACATAGTCCCACTAGAAACACGTGTAGAGGTACAAAATGGCTCAGCCGTGCTCGCAGAAAACGACGTCAAAGTTAGTGGATGTTTGTCGCGTTTGCGGCGACACATTCTCGCCAACTAAAAGAAACAAACATAATCTTTTACAAGGCCATGACTCATCCGTCCGGCCGGACTATAGAGGGAATCGCCTTGTTGTTTACAAATACGTCCGGGTAGAAAACCAGCAGAGCTTTTAGCTATATATATGTATATATCACATTTTTCACATCACTGTATCACCGTTTGGACTAATCCGATGTTTGTAAAGTCTATAAACACAATGATTGAACAAACATTACTATTTCTGTGTGCACGTTTAGCTGGGCTAACCATTAGCTGTTAGCTGTTAGCCGTTAGCGGTGTCTGTAATAGGTAATAACTCATTAAACGGTCTGTGAAAAAAATATCTTTTCCAGCGGATATCTTAGTTACAACATGATTGAGCTAGCACAGCAGTTTTGTGTTGCTATGTGTGGTATTTATTCAGTTTTGGGAAATCACGATGTCTAGAAAGCATCAGTGGCTGCAGCTGACAGGGACAGCTAACAGCAGCAGCAAAGCTAACATCAGGACGTCATCTGTTAAAAGCCTCCCGTTGTCGGATACGACATGAAACTACTCCAGTTAGCTCAATCATGTTGTAACTCAGACATCCACTGGAAAAAATATTTTCTTCACGGATGAGCACACGTTTGATAAAACAGAGTTTAATCTCTCAGCATCCATTTTCAAGCTCTCTGTGTGTTTGTTTCCTTGCGGACGAGAAAAGGGGGAGCGCACATTTCCGAGAAGGCGTGTCCATTTCAAAAATGCAAGAGGCGTTGCTTTGTTGCCGGCCGTTTTCTCCGGTGTGTTAAACACACTTTAGAAAGGAGTGTCCCCAGACTATCAGAAGGCGGAGATCTCTGATTGTCTGGTGGCGAGACTATATGGACTGAGCTACTTGCATTTTTAAAAGAGTTTGGAATATTTTTCACAGCACCAGCAGATTTATATTTTTCCTTTTTGAAAAGAAAATAGTATCTGAAGTGACTGATGTTTGTATTTTACTGATAAACAGTATTAATTCTTAGAACTCTCCAGTAGATAGTCAGCCAGTGCATATGTTGGTATTTTTGCTTATTGTGATGTCATTTCCTTGAGTATTTTCAAATGCTTCATATTCCTAAAATCTGTACAACCTGAACTAAAAGGCTATGTAAGTCAATAAATGTTAATCATTAATAAAGCATTGAAATCACGTCATAAATTTTGAAAATACAAAAATTAGACATGTTTTTTTGTGAAATTTGAAAAAATAAACACACAAAACCTACTTATCCAAAAGATTTCTAAATGTAGAAACGTGATCAAAATATTACTTGACACTTCATTAGTTATTTAAACTATGTACATATTTTAGTTTTTGAGATCTGCTCATTTTTGTGAGCAGAACATGTGCAGTAGAAATATTCCCCCATTGCCTACACTGGTATTTTTTGGTATTTCATGTCCCTAAAATGTGTACAGCCTAAAAGCTTAAAGGTTATGTGAGTCAATCAACTGTTATAATTCATAAAAGTATTGAGATTGTGTCATAAGACGTTCCTATTGACGCATGTTTTCAGCATTATGTGGACGTCTTTTAACGTAACGTAATGACGTCATCGCGAGCAAACAACATGATGGTGCAAAAGACAAAGGTCCTGGCTTTCTGTTGCAAAAAAACACGCCCTAGCTGCTATCATTTTTATTTAAGATCGATTTTTTATTTTAAACGGGATCATGTCTTTTAGCTGAGAAATTATTCTCTGTTTCCTGCCCAGTGTCTACAGATGGAAATGAGCTTATAGCTAACTCTGGTGCAGCTAAGATGCTGTGCACTGTCTCTGTTAAATAAATAAATAAATAAATAAATAAACAACTATTACCTTTCTTCTTTTACTGTCCTGTGTCTGTGCAAATATCAATATGGACTGAAATGATTTGATAAAAGGATTTAGTGCACTCAGTGAGCAATGCATCATGTTTTATAAACTGATCCCATGTTTTGTATGTAAAGTCTTAATCTTTAAAATGTCTTTAACGTTAGCCGATAATAAATGTAGTGGAGTAGAAGTATGAATTAACAGGAATATTAAGTACTATGAAGTGCCTGGATTTAAAGGCAACATTAACCACACCAAGGCTGAATCTTCAGTGTGTAGCCTGAGTCAGGATTTAGGTTGCTGGGGGATTTCAGGGATGTTGCTAGGTCAGTGGATTACCTTGTAATAGATCTGTAGGAGGGCAGCAGGACACACACACACACACACACACACACACACAAGTGTTGGCTTGTGTACGGGGGGTTTAATCCTTGAGACAAACATGCTAACTCCTCCTCTGGTTTGTAAGTAACGCTGGAAGCTAAAAATCTACATATTCTTAAACCCTTTCTTATCCCACTGAGAGTCTGTTTTCTTGTCTCCTCTCTAAGGCGTGAATAACAATGACTCCCATCCTCGCCGTTTGAACATGCTGCTCGGGTAGCGGAGCCGACCGAGAGGAGCATCTACCTTCTTCACACTCCTTCCCCTCTGGACATAAACACACACACGCGCGGCTCAACTCAAGCACAACCATGCTGATCAAGGAGTATCGCATCCCCATGCCGATGAGCGTGGAGGAGTACCGCATCGCTCAGCTCTACATGATCCAGGTGAGTGGTTTCTCTCCTCAGACATCTGTACCTGTTTAATCTTAAATGATTTGCTAAGGGCAGTCTGGTTCGTTAACGAAGGAAGCTGTAAATCTGGAGTCTTTCCTCTGGCGTTAAGGTTTGTGTCTGAAGCCTGTAGAGGTGGAGGTGGAGGTCAGGAGTTTAAAGTGTCATCGTGTCGTACTGTACCAGAACAAGAGCAGTGGATAACATGGTCAAAGGGTCACAGGGGCAGTGTTGCTCTGCAGACCAGATGGTGCTCCATATGCCCGTGGATTGTGTTTCATTTATTAGTTTTTGTGCAAATATGCACATTCAAAAATTCCACTGGAAATCACATGAGGAAGAAGTGCAAATAAGGTTTTAGTCAAAGTCACTTATCAGCCATAAATAAAAGAAAGCATTAGAGTTTAGTGTGTGTTTGTTATTGAAAGAGCACATTAATAATCGAGATAGCTTTGTTATGATGTGCATATTATATTACATGAGACTGAGGGTCGAGTCATTACGATAATTCTGTTTGTTGTCAGTGGAAATTATTTATTTTGATGTTTGCCGTCATGTTTTTGTCAGAGACGTCATTACTGAGCATGTGCAGATAGTAAGATAACTCAGTGCTGTTAGAACAAAAGACATGACTTAGGCTGCGTTCACTTGTAGTCAGGCAGACGGACAACACCGTCTGGACGACACGGGGAAAACAAACAAACAAACAGTCTGACAGACGGGCAGGACAGCAAAACAAAACAGGCACGACAGTATGAGACACAGAAGGCACTCCAGAAATACAGACAACAAGGAAGGAAGTGTTGAAAAGTTATTAATCAAATCAAAATACGTTTTTTTATTGTGTTGTTGTTTGGTTGTAAGTTTTCTGTGTGCTGCTGTCTCAGCCAGGTCTCCCTTGTAATAGAGATTATTGATCTCAGTGGGACTGACCTGGTTAAATAAAATGAATTAAAAAATGAATGTGCTTATGGAGCTTAGAAGAGGAGTTTTCAGGTGCAACTTTGCATCTACATTAGAGCTGCTCTTCACATGCGCCCTCTCCTACACTCAATCCCTCCATTTAGAGCAGACTAGATGTAACAAAGGTGTAAATGGCAAATGTAGGGGGCACCTGGTGGGTTAGTGGGTCCAATTAAGGCAAACCCTCCCAACCCCCAAAAAAGGCAAATTTATGGACGCAAAAAGTAGATTTCAGCCTGAAAAATATACTTGAGTGAAGAGTAGCAGTACAGTTTTTTAAAAAAGGGAACATGAAAAGGGCATTTTTACTTGTGTGTCACTTGTAATTCGTCGCTACCCTCCCCGGTAGTCGTCCAGATTAGTGTTTTCTGCTTGTGTTAGGGACAGGGTGTAAAATTAACACCCGCCAAGCGCCAGTGGCTGGTGAAAAATATGTTTGGCTGGTAAAGTTTTGGAGGTCACTAGCCAATGGCAGATGAGGTAAAAAGTTAATTTTACGCCCTGGTTAGGGAGCTACGTAATAACCAGTTGTAAATTCTGTCATGGAGGACAGCAAATAGGTTAAAATATTTTCACTCTAAACAGCATTGCAATCTTCTGTTACCATTCTTTGGCGGCTTCACCTAATTTCACTGTCTTGCTCTCGTCCACTAAAATGATATCCAGTTTGCCATCTACCATCTCCCTGAATCCATGTGAATGCAGCTTCAGTAGCGAAGAAGACAGTACATTAAAAATGTACAACATACAATTTGTGACACATTAAAATATCAAAGAACAAGAAAGGACAGGTTGAATATTTCCAAATACTTGTACTTGTACTCGTCTTCCTCCGCTTATCCGGGTCCGGGTCGCGGGGCCAGCAGCCTAAGCAGAGAAGCCCAGACAGACGTCTCCCCAGCCACTTCCGTCAGCTCTTCTGAGGGAACCCCGAGGTGTTCCCAGGCCAGCCAGGCGATGTAGTCCCTCCAGCGTGTCCTGGGGCGGCCCCGAGGTCTCCTCCCGGTTGGACATGCCCGAAACACCTCCCAAGGGAGGCGTCCGGAAGGCATCCTTACCAGATGCCAGAACCACCTCAACTGGCTCCTCTAGATGTGGAGGAGCAGCGGCTCTACTCCGAGTCCCTCCCGGATGTCCGAGCTCCTCACCCTATCTCTAAGGCTGAGCCCAGCCACCCTGCGGAGGAAACTCATTTCAGCCGCTTGTACTCGCGATCTTGTTCTTTCGGTCACTACCCAGAGCTCGTGACCATAGGTGAGGGTTGGAACGTAGATCGACCAGCAAATCGAGAGCTTTGCTTTCTGGCTAAGCTCCCTATTCACCACAACGGACCGGTTAAGCACCTGCATCACTGCTGACGCCGCCCCAATCTGCCTGTCAATCTCCCGCAATCCTTCCCTCACTTGTGAACAAGATCCCGAGATACTTAAACTCCTCCACCTGAGGCAGGACTCCCCCCCCCGACCTGGAGTGGGCAATCCACCCTTTTCCAGCTGGGGACCATGGCCTCAGACTTGAAGGTGCTGATTCTCAACCCAGCTGCTTCACATTCGGCTGAGAACTGTCCCAGCAAGAGCTGGAGGTCACTGTTCGATGGAGCTAGGAGGACCATGTCATCCGCAAAAAGCAGGGACGAGATCCTCCCGTCACCAAACCTGACACCCTCCACCACTTGGCTGCGCCTAGAAATTCTGTCCGTGAAAGTTAGGAACAGAAAAAGGGCAGCCCTGGTGGAGTCCAACCCTCACCGCGAACAAGTCCGACTTACTGCCGGCCACGTGAACCAGACTCACGCTTCTTCGGTACAGGGACTGGATGGCCCTTAGCAAGGGGCCACCAAATATTTCCAAATATTCCCCTTTTATTGAGAGAGAAGCTCTCAGTGCTGGATTGACTGAAGTGGGATTTACCTCGTGGATGGAAATTGATGATCACGATTAATTCAACATTTTACCTTGATTACAATTAATGAATGATTATTTTGTTTTTTGTACTGTAGGTTTGTAGTGTAAATATGAAATATTTTAATGAAAGAGTGCATATCTTATCTTTGATGAACTCATTTCTTGAATCTTTTTCATATTGTGTAGCCTTTGTAAATCCTTGTGTCATCGAGAGCTTTCTGGAGGCACTTGTTGTTGAGCACTTGTCAGTCTCTTTCTGTTTTTTGAGCCGTGCGCTGTTCATATTCAGTGACGTGATTGTGCTCTGAGTGCTGAAACAGATTGGTGGTGTTACCTTTGGTCGCTGAAACAGTTTTTCCGCAGTGTTTACATTTGATTTTGTCATGTTAGGTATCATCTTCACAAAAGCCAGAATGTGTCGGGGTGGAGTCACGTGACTACACACGCAGTGGTACATTTTTAAGGGGACAGAACAGGAAGACACATAATTACCGACATGGGCAAGATTATGTCGAATCGAGGTTCTGAATGTCGGTTTCGATTAATGTTCAATTACTTGCCAAGCTGTAAGTTGAGTGGACGTAAAGACGTTAAAATCTCTCTCCACTCAAACTGTCGGGATGTTTGATGGCTTTGGAAACAATAGTTTGATTCTTTGACAGTGATATAAAAGACATAGCAGATGCACATAACCAAAAACCATTTAAAAAAAGAAAAAAAAAGAAAAGCCATGAGCAACATGAAAACATCCGCACACTTTAGCTCCCTTAGGTGCAATTTACTGGCACATCCACAAGTGACGTTTCAGGCTAGATGCTTGTCTTCAGACTTGTAGCTGTGCCAATAAATTGTGCTTAAGGGAGCTACAGTGTGCAGACGTTTTTCATGTTGTTTGAAACATTTTTTTTAATCAAATTATAACACATTTCTTTGTATATTAGAAATCACATATTTGCCTCCAAGGCTTCATAATCTGCACAACATATGACACCATCTATCCCTAGAAAAACTCCCATAATAACCCCTTAAAGGCTAAAAAGAAATGTCAAGGACCTCACCCCTTTCCCAGAACAGACAGACGTGCAGTCGATGTCATTTGTATAAAATAAACCAATAAAGTAAAGTCATAGTTTAGACTATCAGGATAACAACACTATAAATAGATTGTAAACACACATGAAGAATGTATGAAACCAAATCTACGCCTGTGACCAAAAATACGCAGACGTGGACAAAGGAAGAATAAAAAAAAAAAAATCTTCAGCAAACCTCCTGAATATCAGCTTTACATGTACACACACACACACATACACACACATACATACACACACACTGCTGGACCCCTCCTCCTCCCGCTCAGCGTCACAGCTGAGTGCCGGTTGCCATGGTAACTGGTGACATCAGCTGCAGCATGGCAGCCGCTGCCATCATTTGTTTGTGATATGGGCGGAAAGAAGGAGAGGGAGACGGACAGAGAGAGGGAGAGACGGTGGAGGGCGGACAGATGTGATGGTGCAGCGGGCGTTACCATGACAACATTGTGTCCAGCTCTAAATTACTGGAAGTTACATGCATCGCTCATATTATGGGGGCGGTGGACACAATAACATGGACGTCCTTACGTTGTGTTTGACTTTTAGCTCTGATGAATACCAAGTTTGGAAACACTGACACGGACTCATCAGTGAGACACGCTGACTACGTGCACATGAACTCTGATATTCTGAATATGATGAGTCATGTTACACCATATCCTGTTTGGATATTCCAAATTTGGCCTTTCTCTGAATGAAGCATTTTCTGATTAAGACACGTGGGATGTGCTGATATTATTCTGGTTTTGGGAACGTTCTTTGGACGTGTACAGCACGTTCAGAGTATGTGACTCAGTTGGGGTTTATACCGCAGTTTGCGACACACGTCTTCCTGTCTGTTTACGGTCAGCTCTGTGTGTTGTCATGGGTGTGTTGTACATAAACCAACAAGCCAACAATTTGCAGAGCTCTGGCTTAGAGATGCACGTCCAAAAGAAAAGCATTTGTGGTCAGAAAGAGAAACTTACCTCAAAACTTTATGAAAGACTTGGATATTAACATTTACATGGCCAAATATCGTAGCGCTGACCTT